AAACCACACACATGCAACAGATTTCATTCATTCCTGATGAGTCTCATTAATATGACCTGTTACAGTTTTGCTATCATGGACTATTGTGGAGCAGAGTGAATGATAAATGTTGTGATATGTGCACATGTTGTGATGTTTTTGGGCCAATATTGGTGCAATGTTGAGGGTGAACCTTCCTCAAAAATCAATTCACTCAACTTAGAGTACTGTTGCTTGGTTATCTGTTGATGTCAGTTCCTTCTTGTACCATGTGGGAATATACAGGTCTGTCCTATTTAAAATAATAATAATAATAATACCTTGATTTGTAGAGAGGGGATTTGACAGATAGAACATAAAATACAGGTAAAATACCAGGCGGGACAGGGAAAACACAAGTAAAATAAGAAATAATGAATAAAAAAGTTCATGCAAACACATGTAAATACACAAAAATGAAAAAAAAAAAAGTGGTTCCATCACACAAGGAGGATAAGAGAGAGGCTGAAGAGAAAATCAAAGATAAATTAAGACCAGGAGGTTAGAAAGAGGGACTAGAAGCAGTACAAAAAAAGAGAAAATGGATAAAAGGGCAGAGAGTGATAAACTTTCCTTAAAGGCGAGTCTATAAAAGTGGTCTGAGTGATCTCCTCAGGCAGAAATACCCAGGCTGCCTCACTCAGACGTTCATTTCCGGTCATATTAAAGCACTTATGTGTTGCTTCAGGTATCGTAGCGAACCTGCGAGACTGCGCTCAGGGCTCAGCTGCTCCATACGACTCGCTGAAGGTAGGCTCGGCTCGGCTCGGCTAAAGCTAAGCTACCTATCCGGTGTCGGCGCCGATGCTAGCACATGCTAACCGAAGCTCCGGGTGAGCCGCCGTGTAGCCTGACGTGACTGGGAGCTCCTAGCTAGCACGCCTGCTCGCTTCCTATGATGCTGCTGTGACCGTCCGCGTTAGCTAGCTCGCTATCCGAGAGGGATGTGATAGAAGACGGAGGCTCGTCCCTACTACTGCACCAGCACCACCACCAGCAGCAGCATCAGCAGCAGGTACGCGTAGTCCAGGCTACAGCCGCCGCCTCCTCCTCCTGCCTACCCGCCGCTAGCTCCAGTTCCTGTTCCGTCTGTGGATGAGGCGGCTCGCTGGCTTAGCTCGCTGAAAACGCACCAAGGGGTGGATACATGTCTACCTCTCAACCACGAGGAGAGCCACGACAGGGAAATCTCGCAGTTCATGTTTCGCCAAGAAGTCGGTGTGACGTCTTTTATTCCATCTTGTTCGTATCTTTTCCAACACGAGAAGAGGAATATGTCCAGATACAACATATACAGCCTGCTGGACTGGATCTACGGCGGCGTGGACCCGAAGTTTGAGGGCAACGGGGGCCCCGAGTGCGCCGCCTTCATCGCGCCCCAGCAGCGCATCAGCGAGAGTCTGGTCATCGTCCTCATCTCGCTGCTGGAGATCGGCGTGGCTCTGAAGAAGATCAACCTGTCCAAGGAGCTCAGGGTGGTGGGCAAGGACTGCATCCGGGCGAAGGAGGACAGCCTGGGCAAGAACCTGTTGCTGGTCGCCCTCTGCATGACTTTTGGGGTGGAGGTGGGCTTCAAGTTCGCCACCAAGACTGTGATCTACCTGCTGAACCCGTGCCATGTCATGACCATGGTTCAGGTGAGTGTTGGGGGGGGTTGTCTGGGCTGCAGGAGGCACCCATCAAGCGGACCAAGTGGGGATTTATCTGAGTGATGGGTTACAAACATGTCCTGTGCAGGCGCAGGTTTCATCAGTCAGGTATTGATCTGGCCTCGCCCATCCTCACTCCTGATGAAACACTGTGGTTGATGTGTTGCCCTCAGTAGTTTTCTGACTTCAGATGCATTTGAGCTACACACAACCTGAACAGTGGAAACTTACTGCTGGTGTGTGTTTAGGTAGTTTTCCTGCTTTTCAAGTCAGAAAATAGTTGACACAGCTGTTATATTAATAATATTATGGGACGAATTGTGTGTTTATTCTAGCAGGTACAGAAAAAAAGTGAAAATTACAAGATCGGAGTCGTGTTTTGGTGATTGTTGTAAGAACATGACGTCCCACGCTCGTCCCTCGAGATGCAACAAGAGCTGACTGGGTGTCATCGGATCTGAACCGCTGTGATTGTTTACAGCCAGATAAGAGGATGTTATGAGCGGCGTTAAAGCTGAGGTTAATTTCTAACTGGACCGATGGGTGAGAGTTTGCATCACATGACGTGGGGAGTTCAAGTTAGGTCTGCATTTTATTTGATGCACCTAAGACGGACTCGGGCGACGACAAATAAACATTTATCAACTAGAATTAGTGATTACATCATTTGCCAACTACGGTTAATGGTCTGCGCTTGCATTGCACTTTTCTACCTTAGTGGTACTCAAAGTGGTGACAGAGCTGCCATGCAAGGTGCTGCCCGCCATCGGGAGCAACTTCAGGTT